AGTATTAAATTGACCTTGGAGATAATATTAATAGAGAGCAGAGAGAAGGACAAAATTACTTAAAAAGGTCTTCCTTTTGTATAAAACTCAGAAGAAGAAGTGATGCTATGCATTTTTTCTTTCGTTTGAAAGGCTTGCCTAAGTAAGATTTTTTCAAAGGAATTTCTCCTGACAGCATACTGAAAATAAAGACTTTTCTTTGATAGCAGCGAAGCACATAAATGATTCATTGGAAAGAGGAAAAAAATCAGAGTCAGGGTGACAAAGACACTAAGCAAATATCAATGTGAAGAGGCATTTCAGAGAGCTGGTAAACAAGCTTCCACCCCTAGTACATGCCAACTTGTGGACTAAGACCTCAGGACCTGCCTTTCAAGTAAGGATTAATCAAACTTCCATTTCTGCAAGTGCTGATGAGAAACCATGCCTGCATTATTGCACCACAAATAAGTTTTGACTGGAAATGTCAGCAACGAGACACCTGAACTTCCAGTCTGTAGAAAGAATTGGAAAGATGATTAAGTACAGATACAAAATTGTCATTGAGTAGCAAGAGATTTTCTCTTTTAATTAAACTGGCTATGAATAGTGGAACAGATGGTAAAGAAACACGTCTGATTTCAGGGTGGAGTCTGACATCACTTAAGGGACATAGTTGCTTATGACTGTAGATTACTGGATTTGATAGTTTTCAAGTCACTTTCTTTCTTGTGATTGCATGCCCTTTATTCTATTCCCTCTGGAAAAAGTTATAAATGGTTCTTTCTTTGGTTTTCACGAGGGCACGATGGTGTAATGTGGCACCTGCCATGATCTGTGCTCTGTGCACAATGGCAGCACTTGGGAAACACTGATATTGGCAGAATGGTTTCTGAGCATGGCCACTGTCAAGCAGCACTGGGGGCTGGGTGTATGATGGTTGTTCACCTCAGTGCAGCTGTGCCAGCACTGCTTGTCAAAGTGGGTGCTTCTTCTCCCTCTTACCTGGGATGACAGCAGCGAAAGGCTTCCCAATGCACAGCTGAGAGATACACAAAGTATCAAGTGCCTCAGTGAGAGTCCTGTTTTCTGGGTTCAGCGAGGTACTCCACCAAAGATTTTTCCAGGCTCTTTTCAAGATGTATAGATGCTTCAGGGGTACAGCTGAAGAAATATCTCAAAAGCATGCAGAAATAATGACTGGCCTGGACGCCACAGATAGGAGATCACAGTCATGCCTGCACTTGGGCTTGACAAGTCTTTGGTGTTTCATTATATCATCTTCAGGCTTCTTGTCAGGCCCAGTGCTGACTGCTCCCACTCATGTTCTGGCCATGACTTGATTCTAACTTGGTTGCCGTCCCTAAATTGAATAGGACCAAACTGTGTACTATGGTTGGAAGTGAAGGCCTGGGCCCCACTATTTCACACTCCTCCCAGCACCCTTCTGCTGTACAGAGTGAGTTAAAGATATTAGCAGATCCAGATATCTGGGTGTCATCTAGAAATGGTTCTGTACAACCAGGGAATGAAGGAATCATGCCCATGTGCATGGCTGCGACAACCTACAAGCATTTTAGGTTCAACCCAACGCTGCTGCTCTCCTACATTTCTTCTGGAGGGATTATTTGCAAGCCTACAGAGAAGGAGAATTGTCCACTGCCTTTTGGGTTTGATCTTTTAGCCAGATCCACTTCTTTGCCTTTTCCACACACACAGTCCCACAGGCAGACAAAGCAGCAGACCTCAGGAGGCAATGAGCTCTCATGAGTCCCTGGCTAGGAATAAGGTAGGCAGGAGCTGCTAAAAGCAGTCCAGCTACTGGAAAACATATACCAGTTTCTGGCTGATCCATTTCCCATTACATTCATGGCAAAAGGCATTTCCTTTATCTTTTGAGCTTTCAGAGAGGGGAAGAGAAGCTAAGCTCACAGCAATTGTCCTTTCATAGGCAGGATGCAACTGGATGGTTTTGGAGGCAGTGAATGAAGATGATTAATTATTGCTCACTTTTTCACTCCATCAGATATACAAGGGATATGCCTGTCACGCTGACAGTCTGCCTGCTCAGCCCTCTTTACACACAGCATGAGTGGTGTGATTCAGTCTCACACGCCACCTTCTGAAGGGAAGAAACAGAGCCATGAGTCAGTGGGACATGGTTCCAAGTGTCCTTAATGCAGTAGTGTCAGCCTTATTGAGCAGCACTGACATATTTATTAAACACAAACATGGGAGCAATTTTTTAAATTTTGCAATGCTATCTGAAGAGTCAGAAGACATACCACAAATCAGCTTAATAAAAATATTCCATTTCAGAATGATCCTTACCTGGTTACAAGGAATTCAATGAAGGAAACAGAAAAAACCATTAACTATAGCATTATAATGAACTGTGGGACATAAAAATAAGCGTGAATTTCTTTTTCTGATACACAGTTCCCCTTTGTGTATGTACCAGCCAGGAACCACATATCAGATAAAAGAGATGATTGCTATGCTAAGGAAATCTGGGACCCTTAGCTGGGCTAATGGCCCAGCAAGTGTTAAAGCCTCATTAGTAATGACAATGGAAATGAATAATGACTGTAATAAATAATCGCTTGGCCTTTAGATAAGATGTATTTTATTTCCCATTGTGTGTGCCAGAAGTTAGGAGTATTTATAAGCTACAGTCACAAATGACTGGCTTGTGCTATATGTAGCTGGAAGTAGGCAGACAAAATTTTCCTGGAAGTCCCCAGGCCAAATTCAGATGTCAGCCATACTTTCAGCAGTAACACTCATCCCCTATCTGCAGGCGCAATATTCAATTTAGTGCTTAGAGTATTTGAAGGAAATGGATTCAATGTAGTCATAAAGTTTTGCACAGTGTTCTGTTCTTTGAGCACCAGCATAGGATGTAGGAAATCAAGAGGGGAACCAAAAAAGGGCCACAGGAAGGAAGCTTTTCCCAAAATCTGAAGGGCCACAATTTTCTCACATGGGAATGGTCAAGCACTGGAGCAGGAATCAGCAGGGTGATGCTCTTTTCCCTTGGACAGCCTCAGTGGAAAAGTGCCTTTCTCTCGCACACAATATCCCCTTTCCTGCCTTTCCCATGGAATGTGCAACCCCCATGAGCATGAGCAGAAGCTGCCTTACAGAGAACTCTGCTGTGGGCAGAGTTGGGCAGGAATCAACTGGCGTTTACTCCTCCAGGTGCTCAAGGGTTTGAGCAGACCAACTCTGGAGATACACTGAAATCGCTGGTCATTCAGTGATGCTTCAGGACTCATAAATTCAGAATAAAACAGAGGAAGAGGTTCCTTAAACTTGCCAATCAGTGGCACATCATCCTGCAAAGAGGAGCAGTTGGGCAGTACTTCCAACTCTTGGAAAGTGTCTAGCTTATTTCTTTCCATTTGACAGAATCCAAAACAGTTTGGTGGATTTCATTTTCCCTATTCCCAGGGTTCACTTTTTACCCATGCACAAAGGAAGAAATATGTTAGTAACAGACCAGAATGCTAGAAACATTTAAAAAGTGGTGACAGAGGTGGGGAAATGAGGAGCTCTGCCAGCTAGCTGTGGGCCAGTGTTTTTCAGCCTGTGATGTTATTAATCACAGGCGTGTCCATGGTTTCCAGGAAGGTGCAAATGTCCAGAAGTCAGGCGTAAGTCAACTGCAAGTGGTAGTCCTCTTGTTTGGCTTTAATGTACCCCCCCCTTGAAGTACTCCACAGCCCCTCTCAGGGATCTCTGACCATTACTGTCCTACCACTGCAGCTATTAGAAAGCATACAATGTCACTTGAGAGGCCACTTTCAAAGCCACTGAAGCCAAGGGGAGCTGCTTTAGGGGCACAGGGGGATGCAGCAATGACCCATTTCCCATTGCTGGAAATCTGTTACCCCTTTCTCTGGAGCAGTGAGGCTTCCGGGTACCCTTGTGCTAAGCTGCTGAAGCACACTGATTTGTGCTGCTCAGCTACTACAAATCAATGTGTATTGTCAAGACAATTTGGACTTCACAGTCCATTTATTTAGCTGTTAAAGGCACTACTGATTCTTCTGGTAAGCAAAAAGTTCTTACATAAATTTGGAGACTTTCAGCAGAGAGCACTGCAGTTCCTGTGATGACTACACCTGTGAAAAAAACCTCTTTGGTAAAGAGGAAAAAGGAGAAGGTCTTTTTGATTAGTGACTGCAACAATATAATTTCTAGAAAAGACTAGAAGAGAGGATACTCAGTCTCAGATAACATTTGCTCTAGTGGCATGACCTCTTGTAAACCTCAAACAGTGAATAAAATGTGATCAGAGACATATTAAAGTGTCGAGCTGCAAAACCTACAAGCAACAGGGAGTGTAATTACCTGGAGAATAAGTGGAAGGCTTTCTTGAAAGCCAATTTCTTTTCTTTGTACCCCTGTTCTCCTTGCAGTTTTGTGCTGTCTCTACCAAAAGCAACATAGCCATCACATTTAGCAAGGGAGACAGAGAAGGGGATGAGTTATGAGCAAGGCTGGCTAAAACATGGAGATACTTGAAACCTGCCTGGATGTGATCCTGTGCAACCTGCTCCAGGGGAACCTGCTTTAGTGCAGGAGGAAGGAGGTGGACTAGAGGACCCCGGAGGTCCCTTGCAACAACAAACATTCTGTGATTTGTGGTTCTGTGATAAGCAGAAGCAAGAACTTCTTAAAACTCAATATATATTTTAAATGCCAACAAAATGTGAAGGAAAGCCAGCATATTTCTAATAAACAACTGTTCTAGGGAGATGAAATAACTGAGATGGGTTATGAAAGAGTCTGAAGATGGCAGCACTTAAAGGAAATAGTGTCACGACAGTTCTTTAGGCCCCAAAATCATTCAATAGGTTAAACTGAATGTCTGTTGTCAGACATCATACTAAGCAAAATCTCTAAAAGTAAAATCACACCACTGTATGACTGACCTTTCTTCAGACAAGAATTTAAAATATGCATTTTTAAAGCATTATGTTTATGAAAAAATATTTGGCTTTTGAGACAAATTATTTATATGAGCAATATAGTTTATTTCAGTCCAGAGTCATCAGAAATAGTACTTTTCACAACTTAAATGCAGCAAAATACACAAACCCAGCTTTTGTTTTCCAGAAAAATTATGTTTTCTAAAGCAAAAGAAAATTAACTTTAATATATTCTTTAAAATATAATATATAATAAACTATACCATGCATATAATAGATTGTATAGAATGTAATGTAACAATAGAGAATAAAATGTTACATATAAAATATAAATTACTAAAATATAATAGAATCATTGTTTTCTCATTAATGTCTTTAGTTCTTTCTCTAATAAAAGAAGATGTACATCCATAATCCAATTCTTCAAAAGAACTAATATTCCAAGACAAACCAATTGTGAGTGTCTAAAAGCATCCCCCAAGAAATCCAAACCTGCCAAGCTCCATTTCATATTGTATTTCTCTAAGTCAAAAATATCTGCAGTGAATATTATCAAACTCAGTCTCTGTGAGAGATCCTCTGAGCCAGGTTTCAGCTCAGAAGAAATTGTTTTTCCTGTGAGGAGAGTGAGGAAGTAATTGAAATCAGAGCATGGTAATGGCCTGGTCTCCTAAAATTTAGGTATAATATTTCCAGTTGGCACCACTGTACTCTACTTTATTGAGGGATTCAGTGGACATATTGGTAACCATGAGGACAAAGCCCAGGGTTTTTTCTGTGGATACCTGAGGTGTAGCAAACATAAAATGAAATATATATTATCCATGACATCAGGTCAGTATACAGCATCTCTTTGAAAGCTTTTCATGACAATTCATGGCTGTTTTGGAGCCTTTCCAAATGTCTGGATTTCAGGAGGGCAGAGCCGCCCTGTGTGAGTAATCTTACCTGAAAATTCAGTGATGGAGGGCAGACTACTGGGCACCACATCTCCTCATGGACTCAGGGAGGCTGGAGGTGGAGAGGGACCCTTCCCACTGGGACTACAGATTTTGGGGAGAAGTCCTGGTAAGGTGAGAAATGCTTCTCCAGCCTCCAACCACTGCTAGCCTACCCTTGTCCCATGGGGCCATGGGATGGTCATTGGACAGAAGATGGAAGCAGAGAAATGTTGCTGCAATGAACCAAATCACGAGGGGCAGCCTGTGGGCTGACTGGATTCCTTGGCACATCAAAAAGCATTTTATAACTGTAAGAGACGCACCTTTGAAAATTAAACTGCAATAGAGGTCATGCACCCTCTTGTTCTCCATCCCCTGACTGCAGGATTTCTCCTGCAGACTAATTTTACTTGAAGTAAAGCAAAGCATGGGTGAGATTCAGTTTCAAGTGAGCAGGTTCTTTTTCAGTACACTGCTCTGTACAAATTACTCTGTCAAGAAAATGTTACATTTCAAGATTGAAACTCTCAATATCTGGCAATACCAAAATTTTGGCAAATACATCAGCCCCCACTGAAGATGATGCAGCTTTTAAGAGGGTGAGGCGAGCTAAGTTATTGCTGTTAATGGTGCATTTGCATTTCTCAGACCTCTTCCATGTGTCTACAAAAAGACCTCCTCCCCCAGGGTAATACAATCAGCCTTTGGGTCTAAGAAGTCAGTGGGAGGGCTATAGTGAGAATAAAGCACGAGCTCAAAATTCAGACCAATTCAGGTGAGATTTATCTCACTTGTTGTTATCCATCTACAAACCAGCCTCCTGCTCTTGGCAACAGGGGCACTTCCCATTATCCCCTCCTAAAAAGACAAGTGAACCACCTCTCTGAGAGGTGCCCATCTCTGATTGACTGGAGAGAGGCTTAGACATTTACCTTGGATGAAGTGCCCAGTGTTTCAGTAGCTATGCTTACATACGAGAAAACCAGGAGAGGATGGCCTTGAGGAGCTGTCAAGGCTGTGATTTTTAAAAGTCTTGTCCAAAACGCTCCAGTGAGGAGAGGCATGGAAAATAAACAGCCTCAGCTGCTCTCGGCTGTGTGTCACAAAGTAGCTAGGGTGATCAAAGCCTGCAAAGATGTCTCCTCCCTCCAAAAACACACCTCTAAATGAGGGACCAGAGAGATGCCTGCAGCCAGCAAATACTCTCTCTCTGCCTCATTTAATCAAGACAGCAAAATTGGCTCTGGGATGAACTTAAATCAATTTTCTGATGAAAAACCCTTGGAATTAAATTTCTATTAAATATTTAACCACTGTCTGATTTCTACAGAGATTTCAATTTAGTGTAGCAAAAAATTATTATAAGCAAGTGCACTATTCTTACACATTGACAACTAGGGTGTTTTGATTGAGAAGAGATGTTTTGTACACAGTCCAGTTTCCTCATGTTCCTGTACTTTAGTGTCAGCAAAATCAGCAACCAAAAACCTCTTTTGACAGGTGTTTCATGACAGCCCCATGGAGAATCCATGGTCCACCTTAGCAGCCATGATCACACAACACAGCCAAAGTGGGGGAGAAGGGGGATCTGAAGTATTTCAAGTTTTTTCTCAAAACCAGAAGTGTTTTCTACTGAAAACTTTTGCCCACCTCCCATTCACTTCCTTTGAAAAAGGCCATTTGAAAAGACCCTTTTGCTAGCAAAGTCTAGTTTTTACACAGGGCAAGTCTGTGTGCAGGCAGGAGCCTTGCCCAAGTTTTCACTGTACCCAACCTCCAAAGCACTTTGTGCCCCCAATTTCAATTATCATCAGGGGGAACTGGGAATGCCTGGCACCAGCAGGACACAGGTCTCTCTAGCCCAACAAAGGTCTAGTTAATTCCACAGTCAACTAAGGATGGAGTACCAAGGGAGATGAGGAGAGCTGAAGTTCATCCATCACACTGCTGGCTCTCTAGGGGGGCTCCATTACAGGCAAACTCACCCACAACCACCCAAAAGCAGAGCTCTGTGCTGGAAATTTGCAGGACTATCACCTTCATCCTCACTTTGCTATGGCTAAACTACAGTTTCCATTTTGCAGTTGCCAGGGGATTATGGGGAAATCACCAGGTTCTAGGCAGGGTTCTAAAAATACCAGCCTGCCACCACTCCATAGAAGTTTTAACACCATGGCTTGCAAAAAACTATAAATAAATTCTTGTGAGGAACTAACATAGAATTTTTCCTTGGGACCACATCTGGGAGAGTGAACAGGTCATTCATTTTATATCCTTTTTAGTTTATTTTTTTCTTCTAAAAACATACAGGTCTTTTTCCTAGCTAGTGACTTGTTCAGCATCAAAACCAGAAATAATTTTTGAAGAAAAACAGTTTATTTTAAAAAAATCTTGACTAAAGATACTGTTGATTTTTAAAAGCAATCTGAAGACAAAGACACTCTCAAAAATCCTGTGTTCTCTAAAATGGATGGGTTCCTGACTCTGAACTGGCATTATAGGTTGAATGGGACCTCAAGTCCAACCTTTCTTGGCAAAAGCATGGTCTAGACAAGATGGGCCAGCACAATGTCCCCATGAATCTTAAGTGTCCTGTTGGGGAATCCACCACTTCCCTGGTGAGACTATGCATCATTAAAGCTAAATTAAAGGGACCATAAACTTTTGAAAAGTGAAAGGAAGGAAGAAAAAACCCATAGAGTGATTATGTGTAGACTACTTTTTGCCTGAACCTAAAGTTTGGAAAAATCCCCAAGTCCCTTTTTTAAAATCTTTGTCAAGAGTGGTTATTTTACAGCCTGCATGCACCATATTTTTGGCAGGATGATGAGATCTGAGAACATATGGATTAGATCAGGGCAGATGAGGTAAACCTGTTCTGGTCAGTGGATGGCCTTGCAGGTCACACAGCCCTCCAGTCCTGCAGATTTCCTGTACCAGGGGATGACCCCAGCATTTCATCACAAACACTGGAAAAGCAATTCAGTTTCTAAAACCTTCCAAAAGCTCTCATAGTTTTTTTTTTTTTTTTAATCTCAAGCACCTCCCAAAGTCCAAACAGAGACTCAGGTACCTTGGAATAGTGTGGTGAGCCAAATCAGGGCTGTGAGGTGAGGCAGGTTAGGGTCAAGATACTTGGCCATGCACAACAGGCTTTCTAACAGCAGGATGAGTGCATGCATGAATCTGCATGTATGTCCCATGTGCACAAACATAATGCTGTTGTCACTCAGCCCACAGCATGACTAGCAGATTCTTTAAAAAGAAACCACACACGCACAAATATTTTATGTGCATGCCTTATACATAAGGCATGGGCCAAATGACTTGCCCACACAGTTCTAAAATGTACCCTTTTCCTCCCTTTGGTGCCAAGGAAATGTTGTTGACTACAAATGGTGACAGGGAGAATTGTACAATCCAGTCCATACGTATGAAAAACAGCAGGCTGAGCATAAATGTCTATTTGAAGGAATACAGATGAATCAGTAATGATATTAGAGTGATTAGCCAACTGCCTTAATTGATATGTACAAAACCATATGTGCTTATAATCTTACAAATGCTAACTCACGCTTACCACCATCTGCACAGAAAAGCCACTGTAAATTTACTTCTTCTAAATGCAGGTTTTGTCATTTTAAAAGAGATGAGCTGAGGAGGGTAGTGAAAGGCTGTGCCATGAAATGTTCTTTGCCAGTAGCACAGGGGTCTCTCAGACCAGATTTATTTAGTGACTATAATAGACCTCAATTTTTGTTCAGGTCAGTGCAAAGACATGAGGGAAATGTAATAACCAGCTTTTCAAATACAAAAACAAAGGCAAGTTTTTAAGAGAAATTATGAGGAAGGCCAGTTGTACATTGGCTCCCTACCTCTGCAGCTTTCTCCAGGCTCTTTCCTAGAGTTTTGTATGAACCCACAGCTAAAGAAGGTGAAAGAGCAATCCAGACGTACCTAAAGGATATACAAGTCCACAGGCAAGTCACTGGTTACCGCAACTTCCACTGGAAGAGCAATGATGGCCGGAAATAGTTGAGTATTTTTCACAAAGTTACTGTGAGAGTGTCTGATGTAGGTACAAGTTCTTCCCTTCAGAGCCAGGTAGAGTGGGAGCTTAAAGTTGAGGTGCTATACACATTCATTCCAAGCACCTGTGTTTTCCTCTCCCTTGGCAGGACAAATATGTTCCAGATCACACACAGTCAAGGGCAATTAGTCATATTTCTGCTAATGTAGCCAGAGCACAAAACTGCAGCGCTGATGCCAGCTCCATGCCTGACCCTAAGGTGACAACTGACATCCAACCTGTCATAAAGACCGCAACGTAATTTGGTCCTTCTGATTCAGGAGTGTGAATTTGGTGTCACGTATTGGTTTTGTGAAGTATCAAGTGCCCTGTAAGATTATGGGATGAATCTATGATGATATTTGGGAGTTAAATTCTGCTTTAAATGAGGAGATAAGGGGGAAATAGTGCTTATACATCCCCATGGCCTCAAGGCTAAGTCACTTGCTTTAGCAACACAGTTGAAAGTTTTATGCTTGGCTGTCTCCACAGAAAGATCCATCAGAATTTGCATGGAACAACCTGCCATTTTTGACTCAGGCTTCATGGCAGAAGACTATTAAGACAGAAAAATTTATAAGGATTCTCCTGACACTTCTGAAACATGGAGGACATGAGTGTATGACAGGGGCAGGTGAGTTACTCTCATTTTAAAAATCTTGACAGCGCTGTGCATTAATAGTGTCATAAATATTGTATCTGTGCTGCAAAGGAAACTGAGAAGTTGTTATAATTCAGTTGTCACCATTGTGTGGGCACTGTGTTGTGTCTGAGTGACCTGCAGGCTCAGAATAATAATGAGGGTGATTCATCAGACCTCACCAGCAACAAAGTGTAGAGGGAGTATGTGATGGGTAAAGGCTTTGATCACATTAGACAACAGCAGCTGAAGGAAGGTTTGGACGAGAAGGTGCATGTGAAAAGTGTGATTATTAGACAGGTCCCAGTAGTTCTCAAATGACAGGGAATCCCTGGGTGCTGGCAATAAGTGTCAGTCACTGCCAATTTAACAGGCACACCTGAAACAACTCACTCCAGAGGAGCTGGCAAACATCACAGGGGTTCAAATAAGTAAGAAGCTGGTACAGGAGCCCCTGACATGCTCCTGTCCTACCTGATGCTTCCTGCCATTGCACCTCAGGAGCAACAATGACTGGTAAAGCACAGTCAGTATGGGAGCAAACTACAGGCCATGATCCATTTTGGATTTGGGCAAGTCACAGGAACACAGATACCAAATCATATTTGGTGGCCACTGGCACCTTTTGCATGTGGCCAGAGCGATATAGCTTCAGTGCTTCCGGAGCCAGGCATCTGCAGGGCAAATTAGTCTTTTGGGAAGCAGCTGCTCTAGAAATACCAAGAAACTATCTCAGCTCTGAGACTCTCTGGGTGTTTTCTTCAGCTGGGGTATCCCACTTTCCCCATCTCCCTGTGCCCAGGTGCCTCTACTTGTAGAAATCTGTATGCAGGATTTCACAAGTCCCAGAATGATGTAGCAAGAGCAAGTCATTTGCATTCATGCAATTGCTACTTTGAAAAAGCACACTCAGACATGCAAAAGAGAAGTGAACTTGGCCTCATGAAATCCACATACCACATAGCTTACCATGTAAATATAGCAAATTAAGCCAGCTGAAAAAAAAAAAGTACCTAGCACAAAACAGTTCAGGAAGTACTGGTTTTGTTCAAGGTGTTTGAGGTGCATGCATATATTAGCATACATTAGCACCTTGCTCAGTAGAAACTTGGGGTCAAAGCTAGAGCATGAGAGAAATGAAATGTACATCTGTAAAACACGCTGGCAGGGCCCCAGAATAGTGGCCTCAAAGCCAAAGGAACTTACTGTACTTTCAGCCAACCATAGCATGTGGTGTAGAGTCAACACATGTGTAAGCACTCCTGCTTACTCAGAGTAGCTTACTTGTGCTCCTCAGAGTAGCACACATTAGATGGATTTGAAAAGCAATAGTAAATATGGAGCCAGAATCCAATGACATTTTTCAAAGGCATTTGTGATTCCAAAACACAAATGGCAAATATAAAGTTTTATGGCAAATACAGCAAAAGAGATCAACGACAGAACTGTATGTTAGTATTTGCACTATTGTAAAAGAGGACCAGGAGGAACTTGGTAGTTTATCCAAATCACCTTTGTCCCAAGGAAGAGTCAATTGTACATTTTCCAGCCCCACAAGGGCTAGTTAAACCCATATATTAAAGCCTCCAGTAACTGCAAGTTAAGCTGTGCACTTCCTGTCCTACAGACATGGCAAGGAAGTTTTTCTTTTCAAAGAGACTTTAACAAATTTGAAGTCTGTATAAGCCCTTCCTTCTGTACACTCTGTTGACCCAGTTATTTCAGTCCTCCGGTGGAGCCCATGTTTTTGAGATGTGTCAGCAGTGGTGTTCTCCTATGGGTTCCCTCCAGCTGATTCCATTTGCTTTGAAGTGCAGCATCTAAAATCAATCTTAGAGCTGCAGCAGAGGCCCTTCCAGTGCCAACCAGAGCAGCAGGAATATTTAATCTGTGCTGCAGGCTAAACAGATTTCTATATTCCCCACTGTAACACTTACCTCTTTCTTTTTTCATCATATAGACAGAGTTGCCTCGTGTTGAACCTGCAATTCATGGAAAACTCCAGTCTTTTCTGCAGATTTGCTGAAAACCAAGTATTCTCCATTAGATATTCATGTACAGGGGTACTTCTACCTGACTGTACTGCCTTGAATTTTTACTTTTTGAAACTGACCCTCTTTATTTTCAGACCAGGCCTCTCATTTGGGAAGACTGCTATAAATTTCTAGTCCTTTCTTTCAGCATGTTAGCAGTTCCTCACAGGTTCATATGCATCATCCAAGTCATCAGTGGGAACATAGGACAGATTTATAGAACAATTATAGCATCTCTTTAGAGCGTGTAATAGTTGCTGGTAGTTTAATCTATAAGAAAATCTAAAGTCATGACCAGTAACATTCATAGGTTGTACAAAAAGTCATCAAAGAAACAAAAAGTCAATGATACAAAGAGATCTAGATAATTTTGTAAAATTGATTCATCTGTCAAGTAGGAATTTTAATACGGCGAAACACAAATTACAAGCATCTTTGGAAATTAAGAATGCAGATCACACCTGTGGGGTAAGGAAGTGTATTTTTGAAACGGGGGGCTCTCAAACCTAAGCCACTGAAAAGGGATCTTAAAGCAAAACCACAGCAGGGCATAACAACAACTTGCTTAAGTAAACAGTGAAAACACAAAACAGAAAGAAATATCCAAGGAAGGGATCTTTTAAAGAGTCAGAATGTCTCCTACATAAATATTTCCAAACTTAAAATTAAATTGACAATTTATTTTTCTAGGAGACCACCCATGCACTTATTTCAGATACTTTCCCACCTGCTCATCATATGATATATGCATGTCAGCACCTAATATCTGCACTATCAGCATGATTGCTTACTCAATGAAAGGAGCAGTGACATTTGTACTGCTATCAAATATGAGAGCAGAATTAAGGTTTGTGTATTCAAGGCATCAGACAGATGTTTAGGACAGGGGACAAAATGCTGCAGTTCCCAGAGGAGTCTGTAATAATGCATTTCAAACTCTCAAAGTCTTAGCCTGTAGCACAGAAACTGCACAAACCTGTGGTTTCCATTAAAAGTTTTATGCAAGCAAGTTTTATGTATTCCAACCTGTCAGTATATCTGATCACAAATAATGTTTATGTTTAAAGGACTAGTATGGCTTTACAGCTGAAGAGCTGAAATCTATTTCCACTCTGAAATCATTAATGCTGCACAGCTGAGTAGAGACCACTGAGATGGAGTCATTTGCCCAGAGACAGTTAGAAACTAAAGAATTGAATAAAGTTCTTCAGTGCCTGAACCACTAACAGAACATATCTTCTAAGGGTCCATCAAACAGCAGAACTTTTTTTAAAATTTCCTGCTAACAACTTTTCACAAACAGGAAGAAAGAAGGATGGAAGGGAGAAGTGCAGTGTCAGACCTCCATATATCAGCATTCTCAACCAAAAACTTAAAATGCAGATGGAGTTTGGTTTATACTATAGCATCACAAATAGCCAATGTCAGATCCTCAGATCTGCAAATTCAACATAGTCTTCCCAAACTGGATAGGAAGTGCCACCCATCTCACCCTGCCCATTACTTCCAAGGATGGCTGTCTCAGATACTTTGGAGGCTGGTGTGAGACCCTTCCTATACCAAGGGCAGGATTATGCAAAGTTGTACTTGAGAAACCTCTGTCTGTTTTGAAAATCGCATCACAGAGAAGGCCATCTATCTGAAGCCCACAAGCACTTTTATCCAAGCAGACTTTAGAATCCAGTGCCTGGAATTCCTTGGAGAACATAAAAATCTTGGAGAAGATTTCTTTTTGCTCCTCTGTGATACTGTGAGAGAACTACTGAACCAGTTTTCTTAGCTGAGGTGCAGCTCTGCAATCTCCTTTATTTTCTGTGTTTTTAATATCAAATTGCCTGAACTGGTCCCATACAGCACAGTACAGATCCAACCTCTTTCTAATGTATTTAAATGTATGCAATAAAAATGTGGCTACAGTGCAATTAAAGTGCCATTTCTGTTCATTTTAAATGTCAGTGTAATTAAAGTTCACAGCTAATAATATTCATAAATCTGTAGATTTTTCCAGGCACCTCATTTAGTACTTCTGGAGATTTCCATATGTGAAAACATTGGCCTCTCTTATCACTTATGCATGGATAGTTGTGCTGCTTCTCTGCTCGCTATCTTTGACCTAAGGCTTGCCTACACCACATATCTGTTGCAGGATGATATGTGGTCTATCATTTTAAACTTCTACTGGTTCATCACTTTTTTATCAAAAATCATCTTCCTTTTTACAGTTCTTTAATCTGCAAACAACTTTACTGAGATACAGGGGTAATGCATCCTCATGCACACTAGAAATGGATTAATATCATTGAGATGAATATCCTTCTGCTTTCACACAGGGCTATGCCAGTGACAGACATCATACAGTCTCATCATCACTGCATTCTGGGTTTTGGGGTTTTTGACTTTCTTATATTGCTCCCTCTGTCACAGGTAGAGCAGAGATAAACTCTTGTCATGGCTCCTCTCTGAAAAGCCCTGGAACTCTCATATTGTTCCTTGTTTCCCTGATTAAAACCAAGATACTTTATCCCTCTGGAAATAGCAGCATTTCTTACATGCAGAAATTTCAGGAAGTTGCTGATAATCCTCAACATTCTCCATATACCTTTCCTTCTTCTGATCATACAGCCACCCAGAGTATGGTACCCATATTCCTTCTCAATTCAACTAACTAGAAGTGTAAATGGGATACTCATAGTGAGCAGAGCAATGGAGCAGCCCTGAAGTCCATGAATACAAAAGTTGCATTGTTCATTTCAGAAAGTAGCTAATTCCCTAATGCTAGGGATTTTTCAGCAATATTCACATTAGTTAATTCATCCCAACATTGTTAAGTCACCTTGAAGCATCACTGTGAAATACTTTTTTCTTTTGAGAAAGTCCAAATCCTTCCAGGGCACAAAAAGAAGGGGCACACAGATCTCCCCCAGTAAGACAGCACAACCCAACTGCACAACCCAAAATTTTCCCCAACTGTGCTTTCTGTACATTTTTTTTTAGCTTGTCCCAGCTCCCAACATGGGTCCCTATATAGGCTGCTGCAGAAACAACTCTTGAAGAATTGTCTGCTGGCTTTAGTCTCACCCTCCTCAGGAATGCAGCTCTGGAGTCACCGCATGAATATCAATGTATTTGCAGCAGGCTGATGAGGTTTAGCATCATTGTGCTTCCACACTGAAAGCACTTGGGAAATTGCTGTCACTGACTATCAGGAAAAGCAGAAAGAAATGGAATAAAACAAAGAGAATTACATGGATTCTTTAACCAGGCCACAAACTCCTTAAAATTGCTGCTTACCACTGCATAAATGTCCCAGAAATCTGAAAGTTTTATTCCAAAATAGCAGCGTGGTTGACATGAAAGCAGCTTATCACCATGTCAGAACTCATTTCCCTACGTCTGTCCATCTAAAATTCAGGTGTCTCATTGTCTCTGACCCCTCTTTAAACAGCAGAGAGCTAGGCACTTCAATAACTTGTGACACAGGTAAGAGGCTTGAGCCTGATGATCCAGATCCTCCTGAAGATACCCTTGCCCCACTCCAACAACAGGATAACCATTTTACAAGTAAAAAAAATGAGTTCTGTGGCATAAATCCCACCCAACTTGAATTCACTGACTGGCATCACCTCTCAGGCAGGAACACAAGAGAGAGAAGAAACTTTGAGTGGGACCTTCTTTTGTCTGTCTGCCAACACTTCCACCACAAGACCTGTGGCTTATTGGCATGTGAGGATTATGCCAGGCAGGCAGGTAACTCCTCTGTCTGCTCTGGGAAAATGCTCTGCTCAATCACCTGCCATCTCCCCGGGACCCCAGTACCTGCTGCTGGTTGATCATGCTGCAATAGCACCTTTCTGAGCTGCAGTGTCTGGAAAACACGGCAAAGGAGAGAAAACAAATTTAGGACACTAGGCCACCGCCACAAGGAAGGAAATGCTAGGCTTTATGGACTAAAGAGAAGTTCTTCAGGGACACAGACTTTTGTGTCACAAATTATGAGTATGCATCCTGCTACGAAAGCAGACACCAATAGAACAACTTATGCATCCTTATAAAACAAGGTATTTTTGTTAGTCTGCTTTGCTTATAGTAATGCCCAAGGGAAAGAAATCTTCTAGACCAATAAAATTACTTGAACACATTTTCACTGGAGACTGCTGGATCCTGAGAGAATTCTTCCTTCTAATTTAATAAATAAAATCTGAATTCATAAACATCTCCTTGAACTAGAATTTCTACTTTGTTGAACTTGCATCTCACTACCTATATCTCTGATCTTGGCTTAGGATGATGGCTGATTCAGATCTGTGCTAAAAGAGATAGTGCCCTAATTGCTAATGCAAAGAAAATCTTATCTGCTTCAAGCAAAAGTCTAGTGGAAGAGGAAACTTACAGTTACAGATGGCAAAATCTATTTTGTCCTTATTTGGGCTGGTTTAAGCTTTAGGGAATGAAACAGAGGGGAGCTGCTTGTTTGTCTGTTTGTTTTGCTCTGGGAATACAGCTCATAAAACAATTAGTCATCCCAGAGAAATTAAACAGAAGCAGCAACTATAACTGCAAAAAAGCTATTATTCATTGCCACATTAACTAAAACAATCTTTTTATTCTTAGAGAAGAAAAAGTTAGTTGTTATTTGATTTGAAAACTTTTTGGATCTACTAAATGCAAACAATTCAGAGATGTTCAATGCTTGTATGCCCTTCCTGAGCAGGGAAGAACAGTGCACATTCCCATTCCCAGTCATGACAAACTTCCCCCTCCATGGTGAAGTAATAGACAGAAAATGGAATATCTCCAGTAGAAAATGGAAGTATGGTGCTGTTCTTCAGCACATTCATCATGAATTACAAGCAGCACACTTGCAAAGCTGCCACTATTAATATTCTGACCTTAACACTCATTAATATTCCAAAGTGACCCAGCCAAAGTGAGCTTATACCTTACATTAATCTTCCCAGTAAAGCTCCCAGCCCTCTTACACCACAAGAATCACAAGGCTGCCAACACAGGCCAATGCAGGAATCCCCTACGACAACCAGGCAGGGTGGAAGAAGGAAAGCACACTTCTTGCCTCCTTTGGGTTGGAGCCACAGGGACACAGGCTGGCTCTGCAGCAGGAGCAGGAGAAACATGAGCATGCAACATGTGTAATATGGCTGGCTCAGACAGTGCATCCTGAAATGTAACTGTGCCTTAGACAGTTTAGTGTGGATTAGTACCAGCTTGGCCTACACAGAGCTTGGTTGATCTCCCAGGTCACTGCTGGTTACAAAATCCATCTCCAACATCACACCTGCCCAAGCATAAGGCTGAGGTCATTCTCCATTCACCTCGTAAGTCTATTCCTCGGATGATGGAGCAGAAAAACAGAGCTAGAGGTGAGAGAGAGGGAGATGCTTTTGCTTTTTCCAGCATGTCAGGAGCATGAGGAAAGCACAGGAGCAGGGGGTGACCCCATGTCCCTTCCCCTCCCTGTGTACATACAAGGCCAGTGGCAGACCCAGGGCCTGGTGGTGTCTCCTGGGGAGAGCATGTTGTTCTGTGTGTGAAATGCAGATCCTTCCGTTCCTGTACAACATGGCAATGACAAACTTTGTGGCTGACTGAATGGCGTCCCTTTGCCTCTTGTGAAGCTATCATGAGAACTCCCATCAAATAGTACTCACAGAGGATGCCAGGTACTGCTGAAAGTCCCCATGTACAGGTGGAAATCACAAGAAAGGTCACTTTTATCAATGTTCATCAATCACTTTTTTATCGAGTGTTTCTATTTTCTATAATTTTTTAGGGATAGTATTGAACAAGTACCAGTCACAAACAACAAGAAGTGCAACAGACAGGCAAAAGAAGCCATTGTGTTAGTGACTGTACAAACCCAAAGAAGACACATCCAGTCTGCTAAGAGCAGGGATTGTAAAATATTAATGGGAATTTGGATTACTTATCAGTGACCTTTTGGTCCATGGTGGCCTCTGAATCATCATTAAATACTCTGTGTGTCATGCAGATCTTATATTAAAAACTGTGCTACTAAATCACACATTAGCTACTGCTGCAGAAACAACTGTTTGTTTCCCCTTCACCTCATCTGATGCACCAGGGATGCTTGGAGAAGCCCTGGACTCCCTTTTATGAGTTTGATACTAACCTCCTATAAGTAAGTTCAATATTACAGAACTTCCCCTTGAAATAAATGCCCAGCTATTTTTGACAGTTTTTAACTTCAACAATTCAGTCCTGTGTTTTTCTTAAATTCATGTTAAAACCTTTGCAATTTCTCCTTTGGATGGCAAAGAAAAAATGGCTGACTTTGAGAAGGGCAACAAGCTCAACCTTTTCCTGCTGCATTTGAAATGTTTGGGTGAAGAAAGTAAAACACATGGCAAGGGACTTCTCAAATGGTAACTTGCCGCATCTGATCCTGGCAATTATCTGGCAATCCTGTTTATGCTTGAGCTGCACCAGTACAAAAATATCAAAGATCCTCAGCTGAGGACAGACAATGAATACAATTTATTTTTATAACAACCCTCTTCCTGTCCCCTGACAATAAATGGAAGTAAATATTGTAAGGTGTGATTCAAATACCTTAACTGATCCTGTGGTTTCAGAAAAGGGATGATGAGTTCAAATAGTGAAAAAATTGATATGCTGTATGGGACTGGATGCAGATGGCACTAGAGCCAAGGGAACTGCAGTAACAGGTGACAGAACAAGAGGATGGTGGAGCTATGGATGTAAAAGTTAATTTCTCCAGAAAATAAATATATGGTATGTCTGTACTACCTGCTGGTTTTAATGATCAAATGTCAGTTTGAAAAGAAGAAGACTAAGAGCCCAGAAAGCATGAGGTGTGTCTGGAATGCTGCTGACCATCAGGGAAACATAGCTTATGGACAACCTTGGGAACTTGGTCCTGCAAAAGAAACTAACCTACATGAACATCTGCTGCATGCAAAGCTCAACCTTGCAGCTCCTATGCATTGTGTCTGTCCCTGTTGGCAGCCCAGGCTTCACATACAGACAGCACAACTGTGGCTGGTCACAAGGAAGAGGGAAGAGGTTTTCTTGACCCCCTGAGGTGGTGATTTTATAAGCAAACCCCAGATATTTTAATGTCTTACTTTCTCAGATGAGACCAGGACTATGTGATGGCCAAGTCCAAGAGTCCGGTCTGATTTGGTGCCATATCAGTGGTTTGATGTCAATGTGTGCCTCTGTTGCCTTGAGGAGAGCTGACATTTTCCTTAGTGAGAGCTTACAGTCATGTCTTCCATAGTCACAGGCAAGCATCAGACCAGAGGGATAATTCTTACCTTTAACCAAGCTACATAACACCGTGGAAGCAGTTACAAGACAGTCTCATCTAGGGTCTAAAGGCACTTGAATTGCAAATGGTGTTTGTTCTGGCCCTTCTATGCACTAGCACATCTGCACCTGGAAGCAGAAAAAGGAAGCACATGTTTTATCAAGGATAAGTGAATTCAGTATTCATTCTACAACATTAAAACCTCAAATGGCTTCCTTGGAGAGGTCTTTATGTGACACAATTACATTGTTACTGAATCTTCCTTTTTTATTCTTGCATTACTTTCACTGGGGAAAATCACACTGAAAGCCACAGCTAGTTTATGAATATTATAGTCCTGACTCTAACTGTTTGCCAAGATTTTCCATTGGGTGCAGGCTATGTTGAGTAAAACCGTGTCAAGGCCAATATACAGCAAGCAAATTTTCATTTAACATCTCGGCTTTTATTGCCCTGTTTGCCCAAAACCAAATAACATTACTGCTTGTTATCAGAAGATTTAACTTGCATGCAAGCCTAATTTCATTTTATTGATGGTCCTTTTAGGCATCTCAGAGTAAATTTGCAAGCTATTTGTAAGCACAAACACCAGCTGCAGGACCAGCAAGGTGTGCAGGATGCTCACATGTTGCCAGCCTGACAGGAGAAGCAGGAAAAAGAAAGCAGCTCAGGTGCAGTTGAACCCAGAACATCCACATGCATGAACAGACGTATTACAATTGTTACAGTGGTTTTTAGTTTGTTTGGGGTTTTTAGTTTTGTTTGGTTTCATTTGGGTTTTTTTTCTATCTTTCCTCCCAGTTCTCTTTTTTTTTAGTTATAATTCTATAATTCTCTTTTTTTTTTTTTTTTGGTGAAACCCTTCAACAGTGGTCTCCCCACCTTGTGTGCATCATGTGCTACATGAATGGAAGTGCATGGCATTCATTTCAGTTCTGACAGTAAAGAAAGGGTGCCTTGCCAGCATTACCAGGGCATTTTTCATGGTCACATTTGGATATGAAAGCCCTGGAGAACTCTGCCAAACCATTTTTTCCCATTGTCGTGTGGCTGAAAAACAGCCACAAGACAACTGTGACAGTGAGGGAGGAGGAGGGAAGGAAGGCTTGGCCTGAGACACCCATGTGCCTGGTCTCCTGCAATAGCACCCCATGTCCCTTTCAGAAATGTCACAGTTTTGTGACTGGTGCTCCACCTTATCCTATATAGCAGTTCCCAGGGAACCAATACTGTGTTTTAAGTTACAGGAAAGTTATGTCAGCTTGAATGGGCAGGTACCACTTGTACAATTGTGAGACAGGGAGGGTTGTGGTCTCTTTTGGGCAGCCACAAGAGGGCAATAGGACCAAATCTAACTTCTCCTTGGTGAGATGTCCCTTTCAGCAGAAAGTAGGGATGTGCAAAGCTCATCCCTGCAGGATGCCAGGTGCTCTGTGAAGAACACATGTTTAGTTAGAGCTGCCTGGTGTCAGGGAGGTGCCTGGACCAGGAGCATCTATTTTGTCCTGCAGCCTCAAGCCAAGTCGGCCTCACTCAGGAGCCACGAGCAGGTCACAGGCAGAGCCTTTGTGCTGATCTGCTCCCATGGTCCTGTATGGAGCCTGGCAAGGAGGGGACACTGCAAGTTCTGGTTCAGGAAACTTGGTGGGAACTGCTCATCCACCCTGCTCCGTGGGAAGCAATGGGAATTGCACCATTGCTTTCAGGAGACATCTTCTAGCTCTGCAGTCTATAGCAAGCAGTTGTGTGGAATGATAAATGCTGTCAGCATATTCAAATAATCAAGTCCTCTGCCCATACTAAAAGCTGAAATGTTGTATTCTCACCATAACAAACCCCAGTGGGAACAGGATGAATGTTCCCGTTGTGAAAGTACACATTGTAGAGGGATTCAGCAATTAGCTGCATCAGAATAATGAAGAAAGCTGCTATTTGCATAGAACATCACTGCATTTTACTTTTGTGCTTTCAGTTTAGCAATCTTCAAACAATCATTAAAGAGACAAGTAGAGACCAGAACAAGAGGGAAAGCTGTATATTTACTGGCTAAACACAATGTGCCTTGAAAATAACAAAAGAAAATCATATGACTGTTGAATCCAGGTCAGCCCTGTGTGAACAGTCTTGTAATAGGCCTCATTATCAGAGGGAAAATTAGTTCTTGCTGTTGGGATTGTTATAAATGAGGACTGAGTTAAAAGCTGAGTCTATTACTGTGAAGCTAGGCTGCATCTAAAAACGTTATTGAAGATTTTCCAGTCCTAACAATTTTATTAGGAACCACTTAAAAGATCAGATTAAAATGTGGTAATTTCTGAATAATAGAAACAAGACTTATTCTTCAGCATGCAAAGGTATTGCAGTTTTTTAATTAAGGTTTATGTAAAGGAGGTTAGAGATTATGGTGACCTCCATGTGAGAACTGCCTTACTAACAGAGCTCAGCTCCACCAGTGCACCAAGTTTTAAAAAAACTGGTTCCCAGAGAAAAGGCCTTTGGGTTGAAAACCAACATCCAGCAAGTTAGAGAAGACTACCTGACACTGGGGACTGGCAATTTAGCTCCAAGAAACTGGCTCAAATCCAGACATAGTCACCATAAATAAAAGTAGCCATGTCCAAACCCAGCAGGGTGCAATGGTTTGGATTTCTCGTGGACAGAAGTCTCAGGAGAAGATGGATGTTATGTGTGTAGCTCAGCTGACCTGGGTCGACCTCACTGTGGAGCAGACACTGCTAATGGTCCCAGATGTTTCATTGACAGAGGAGAGTGACCAATTTCCCAGCTCAGAAGTCAAAGTCTGCTGGGCATATTTAATTCAAGTTTTAAAGTTAAATCACAGGGCAAAAGAAGTATCATCCCTGCAAGAATAACTGGGCTTGTCTCAGCAAGAAACTACCCAAGCTCAAAGATTTACTTTCTTGAAAAACCCTTTCCTCTAAGGTTGTCTGTGAAGTAGCACAGACTAGGGCTCACACTACCACAGTATTTTGCAAGTAGTGGCCTGGGTGAGGGAATGGATATGATCACCACATCATATTGCTGTTCATTTTTCTAGAAAACCCCTTCTGAGCCAGGAGGGAGCAATACAGCACAAGCTCACCCACTCTCTATGATGTGGGAATTCAGGGCAACCTTCTCATTGCAAAAACTGGGAGCCACTGAATGTGCCTCTCACCAGCAAGAGCCACATTGGTATGGGCACCTGGATCCCTGCACAGGGTGGACACCAGTCCCACAAGCACCAGTCCAGCAGGCAGGGAGATGTTCAGCACCAGGAGCTCAGGCAACTCCGCAGAGCATCGTGCCCTGCTGTAAGGGATATGGCAGGGACAGCTGAGGAGGATTTCATTCCATCATCTAGATGAAGGAAGGTCAAAACAGGCCACCAACCTTGTCAGCTGAACTCATGGGGGAGAGCCCCTGCAGCGTAGCCCAGCAGACACCAATCCCCCCCTTTCCATATGTCTCCATGGTTTCCTGGAGCCCAGAATTATGTAAAAGGTTTTGGTCCATTTCACTCCATGGCTATCATGTCAGCTCATGGGTAAATTGCTATAACAATTAGGGAGAATAATAGGAAGACGTGACATATGTTCCTTTTACTTCAGCACTGTCTGCTGAAAACTGGAACTAAAAAGTACCAGGCAGCTCCCTCCCTGTCTCTGGAATTTCATAGAGAGTGACTCCAAAGCATTAAAAAGGCACAAACTAAATTAAAAACAATGAAAGAGAGTGTATGATTTTCTTTGTAACAACCCTTGCTTGCAGCAGTTCTGTATGTTTCAAATAAATAGAGTAGATGCTGTGAAACCTTTTGGAGGTTAATGAAAAGCATTACCACAACAATAAAATCTTCTCACAGCTGGAGCCAGAATGCAGCATTAATATTTACTAGCCAATGAGCATATTTACATGACAGAGAGGATTCTAAGTGTATCTTTGATACAAAATTAATACACACACATGCGCTGGCAGGAAAATAAAAATAAATCATTTTATTATGTCTATGATGCCATCTCTGCTAATGCACTAATAATTACAAATATATGTGCAAGGTTCTTGCAATAGGGAAGGTTTTGCTGCAAACTTTATTCACATTTATGTGCATCTTGAAGTCAGTTGTGGTTACTAAATTGTTAGACACAGAGGAAGAAAACCCAAAGGTTTCATTTGGGATCAACTACTTCACCACATAGTCTGTCAACTAAGATTTAGTGTGAGAACTATGGATATATTTCAAAAATGTCTGGGTAACAATGGGTTAGGGTTAGGGGTAAGGGTTAAGCTGAGTAAGGTTTGCTGCATTAGAATCTCAGTTTAATCATATAATTCTGGTTTTTTCCTTATTATTTATTTGCTATACATTTGAATTTCTGCTACAGGAATAACTACAGAATGTGCTGTTTATCCTACACCAAAACATCTGAGAGACGGGAAAAGAAAATTTTGCTGGTGTTCAAAGAATGAATGATTGCCTATATCATCTTGCCTTGAAAAGTTTGAAGTACAAAAAAAAATGAGCATCATTCTTAACAAAAAATATTTGGTTTGGTCTATGAGTTATTAATGGTTCCTTCTCCATCTTTCAAGGCTCTGTTTTCAAAATGTTATCAAAAACATCTTGCTAGTGAAGATCTTGGACTTACTGTAAAGATATTCTTAATGGGAAGAGGAAAACAAATTTAAACATTCAATTTATTTACCTTTTTTGACTGTTTGTCTCAGCTTAGCTAATAGAAAATCACTAACATTGGTCTTGTTTCCTATTACCAGAATGAGTGTCACTACTGAGCTGTCAGGGCTGCCACATTATGGCTGCCAAGACTACAGGAAGATATTTATTGCTTGAAAAACAATGGTTCCCACTGGATTTAGAAAACAATATAATTGCAATATTTTATAGGGCATAAGTTTCATAATGCCAAAGGTGATTGTCCTCTCTCCCTCCACCCTCTGCACCCCATTTCCTTTCTCCGCTCTGCTCCCCCCAGGCTAAGTCTGGGACCACTCCAAGACAGCAATGCTCTCTGCATGACAAGCATGCTGATGCACTGAAATGGAAACAGCTCTAATTGCCAGCTTAAGCCTAAAACCACACAAGGGAATTGCTAAGCAAGGCCTGAGG